CCTCTTCTTGAGCTCTTCCTCTTTCCCCTGCTTCACCCCCTAAACGCGGTTGACGTCCAACTGCGCGGGTGTGCTACGAGGGATGTGATGTAATTAAGCGCTTTGTTTAATGCCGTGTCGGAATCGAATTACGATGAAGTACAAGGAACAACAAGTTTGAAATTCCTGCTCTTAATCCCTGACTGGAACGAGGGAACCCGAACAATCGCGAGCCAAGTTTGCTACGTTTATTACGAGGATTATTATTATTATTATTAATAATTTAAAAAAGAGTGTTCACTTTCTTGAAATCAAGGATGTTGAAGTGACCAAATATCGCGATAACACGATTCAACAAAATAATCTCAAACCGGATCGTTTAATTGTCCTTAGAATATATCCATTGTTTAATATCAGAAAATATACATATTTAAAAAATTTGTTAATTCGACTAAATCTTTCAACTGAATATTATTATGATGAATATTATACGTTTATTACGAGAATTATTATTATTAATAATTTAAATAAGAGTGTTCACTTTCTTGAAATCAAGGATGTTGAAGTGACCAAATATCGCGATAACACGATTCAACAAAATAATCTCAAACCGGATCGTTTAATTGTCCTTAGAATATATCCATTGTTTAATATCAGAAAATATACATATTTAAAAAATTTGTTAATTCGACTAAATCTTTCAACTGAATATTATTATGATGAATATTATACGTTTATTACGAGAATTATTATTATTAATAATTTAAAAAAGAGTGTTCACTTTCTTGAAATCAAGGATGTTGAAGTGACCAAATATCGCGATAACACGATTCAACAAAATAATCTCAAACCGGATCGTTTAATTGTCCTTAGAATATATCCATTGTTTAATATCAGAAAATATACATATTTAAAAAATTTGTTAACTCGACTAAATCTTTCAACTGAATATTATTATGATGAATATTATACGTTTATTACGAGGATTATTATTATTAATAATTTAAAAAAGAGTGTTCACTTTCTTGAAATCAAGGATGTTGAAGTGACCAAATATCGCGATAACACGATTCAACAAAATAATCTCAAACCGGATCGTTTAATTGTCCTTAGAATATATCCATTGTTTAATATCAGAAAATACATATTTAAAAAATTTTGTTAATTAAACATATAAAATATTTAATTAAATATATTAAATTTAACAAAACGTATATTTAATATATTATGCATTCATTATATTAAATAAAGTTTCGCATGCTTTTTCAAAATTCACATATCGTCTTGCGTTTATTTTCTCGTTCCTTTCAGCATTGATTTCAAGAGGACGATCGAAAGATTAAATCTGGTGAACTTATCGTTCGAATATCGCGTCCCGTCTAATTTAAAAGCCAGATATCGTGACAACGATTTGTGTCGCGAGACCTTTCGAATATTTATTACGTGCTATCGTCGCGACTCGTTCCATAATTTTAATTATACATCCCACCTAATTAATATATCTAAATAAAGTTAGACAAATAGAAATGTACAAATAGAAATCTCTCTACTATGGAATCGATTATCTCGATGAATTTATCGGTGTTAAATTGGATGTGAAATCGTAGAATTTTAATAGACAAATAAATTCGAATAACGAGATCGGATCGCGTATCGTCATTACAAACTCTCCTATATGTTTCGAACATCGATTAATAGAAAATACATATTTGCGTTGTGCATTAATACACTATAACGAATCATTGCAAGCAGACATAGTCGATGGATCATATTGTCAAATTTTGGGCCGCGAATAAATGCGATCTCGAGCATAAGTCGTCCCCAAATTGCATCGATATCTACTCGCGGGAGCAATTGTATTCGCCGACAATGTTCGGCTGAAAGCGCTAGGCCGCGAAAGAACAAAGAAATGATTGAGCATAACCGTAACGCGCGAACAAACAAAAGGTCCAATGGACGTCGGTGCATCGGATACGATCCTTTATTTGAGCAAGTTACCGCAGGATTTGCGATAACGAGTGTTACAAACTGTTACATTCGCGCGTCACGTCCGCGTGAGTTTAATGTCCGCAGGATCGCCATCTTGTCGGCCTCGTTAAAAAAAATTGCATAAATTCTCTGAATCGGATTAAAGATTTCACGCGGTCAATTTGTCCGACTGAACAGCGAATTGCGAGATTATATGTATGTATATATTTATAATTATTATCCGCGGTGTCATTTGTAAGCACTTATATCTTTTTGCAGAAAATGCAACTTTTCAACTCTCGTCAAATGTAAAATAATACAAGTTTTCGCGTAAATATAATATTCTAAGAACATTATTTATTTACGTGTAATATGTTTTTCTGATTTATATTACGATGTTGCTTTCAGAAAATAAAATATTTACAATTTAATCTGCTAAACAAATCGGATTTACATTGAATATGTTGCAAATATACATGTAAAACAATAAATTGAAAACGTTTCATCTCTGTGCAAAAGATTTTGCAATATTACGCGTTGAGAATATATATTATAATTGGCGCAATAAAATTAAATGATACGCATATTTACGCAATGCATAAATATCTCTAAATCGCTACAATTCTATTGACTTTTAATGTCAATAATCATTTTGCGCATTAATCCAATAATAACTCATTAAATGTCAATCAGGAAAATATGACGAAGTCAATTTTAGATGATTAACAACTATTTAATGATATTTTATAACATGCATATGTGTGCGTTGGATTAAAATCTTTAGAAAATAATAATTTTGCTTACTGTTGAACTAAAATTTTTTATATGTTTCTTTTTTATATAAAGCTTTAAATCAACCGCAGATAATACAATTGTCATTATAGTATAATGTATAAACGTTAAATTTACTCTTTGTAATAACAATCTGCATTAGAAATCTGATTCGAGAAATGCAGACTATTGTCAGTGAATTGTTTATTTATGTTGTTCTATTCTCTATCTCTCTCTCTCTCTCTCTCTCTCTCTCTTTTTTTCTCTATTTCTCCTGTATTATTCGCAAATCTGCATTTCACTGCCGGCTATTCTAAATAATAGCAAATATAACAGGCGTTTAAATGTCCTCCAATTTGGAAACTTTTTTTTAAAACATGCAAAAAATGTTTAATCAAAGAAAATTGAAAAACATTCGTAATTTTAAATAATTTATAAAGTTTGTGAAAAATTTCAAGTCCACTTTTTCATCGCGAAAGTTTCGGCAAATCTCGAGATTTTCATCAAGCGTTTTATGAATTTATAGGATAATTTAACGCTGACTATACCTATATATATATATATATATATGTGTGTGTGTGTGTGTGTGTGTGTGTGTGTGTGTGCATACGCACTCCGTTAAGTCGCGTACACGGTGATAATTAACATCGAAAAGCTTCTTTTCAAAAGCAGTTTTAAATTTACATTTTCGAAAATAACGGGAATTAAATCTGGGTGCTTCAAATTTTTCATAACACATATAGAGGAACACAATCGACTATATTCTCTACTATATTCCTCGTTTAATTTAACGTTCCTGTATTGAAACTCAGTCCGGCGTGTCTTAACTAATAATCTCGATCTACCTCTCTATATATATATACATATATATATATATATATATATATTCCTCCTCCCTTGCGTGCCTAATTGTTCCATCTTTGCCGAGAGAACGACGACGCAACGCACATTTGCACACCGTGCAGCAATAATACATTTAATCCCGACATGCCAGCCTCATTATAATCCGACAGACTGACCAATAACAACGCTATGTTAAATGACCAGCGGCATATCGAAAGAGAGAGAGAGACGGCCGTCGCCGTCGCGACGCTGCGGGCTCTATTGTGCTCGGCGTTGTGCATTGATTCGGGATTACATCTCGTACGGTAAGTGTTGTATGTGCGAGCGCGCGCGCGCGATTCTCCACGCGAGAGCCCGGAATTATCTTCGTTAAGCCCTTAAGTGCTGCGGACCGCGTTCATTGCGCCGTGATGAATCGCGTGTTCGCATCCCACGCCGAATCGCTCGTATTCCCGCCGCGTATATCTCGAATCCAATTCGAATCCAGATGACATCCGCGTACGAGAAACCCCCGGGTCTCGGTATTCCCCTTCGCCTCACGATAGCCGCCCCCTTTTTCGCATATATGTACATGTATGTATATATATGCGCGTGGAATAAAGCGCGACATTTTCCAGACTCTCTTTGACTATGGATCGAACGCGCTCGTTTTGACTTGGGATATATATATGTATATACATATATATATATAGTATATAGTATATAAAATACATGAACATGTATAAATAAAACGCGTATAATATTCAAAGCGGGATATGAAGTGGCCAACTTTTGCAGGTGGCTTGGTGTCGACCAAGCTCCTATTTTTGTAAAAATAAATCATGTATAAATAATTTGTGATGAAACAACGAAACACAAGTATCGTAAAAAATTATAAATATTTGGTATTTTCCAATAATTGTAACACAACTATTATTTTTATTGAAAAAACAATTTTTACTTAATGGTCTCTTGGAAAAATTTTAATTTCTCTTTTCACTTTTTATATATCAATTAAGCTTAAAAAAATTAGTACATTTTTATGTATATTTGCTTCTGTTAAGAATCATTTTTATGAAAAATGTACAGATAAGAACAACAAGAAATGATTCTTATCTATTGAAAAAATCCACACGCAAAACATTTGCATAAATACGAAAATAAAATTGAGACATAATTCTCGAAGATTTAACGATCGATAATTGATAGCTGACAGATCTCGAATCTATATAACCACAACAATATATATAAATTATTTTTATTAAAAAAAAAGCAAGACAGATATTATACATAATTATATTATATTTTTGACATTTTCTATCTTTTTTTTAAAAGGTTTTCTACCATTTATTATCGACAATAATTTAGATAGAAACTTTTTTTCTGTCTTTTAAAACAACGGATTCGTGATATAATTTTAACAGATCCATTATCCCAAAATAAAATAAAAGTTTATAACTCACCGGTCGATGTGCGCAACAGTTGAGTGGATTACGTTGATATTTTTAATCTGTAACATACAAATATAAGATTTCAGTTATAACAAAAATATTAAATATTTCAAATATATTCAATTCAATTTGATTCTACTGAATTTTACACATTCAAATTTTATTTAATAATTATATAATTTTTTCGAAAAAAAAAAAAAAAAAAAAAAAAAAAAAATCTTTAGGTATAAGCTTGTATCAGATATATAAAAGGCTTTTTCACTAATTCCTTCATTAACTTTCTAAATCATCAAAATAAATGAAATCGATGCGCGAGTACGTGATTAATAAAAAAATATATAAATAAGGTTGCTGCTCCGTCGTCATCCGATGCCTTCCCTACATTTTTTGCTTCCTATCGGATTGACAGATTTTTTTTTAAATTTGCATTCGTGTATTATACTAACACGCAAAAATATGTTAATAATAATTACACGCAAATTATATACAGGACGATAAAAACGAAAACGTACGACACTCCCGAGCTAATTATTAATCGACGATGACGATGACGAATCGTTCACATGTGAAAATAAATAATTTATTTTATGACACGCAACTTTATGCAATCGAGAACAAGCGAATCGATATTCCGCTTCGCGGATGATTGCACTTGAAGTCGAATCGCGAATCGGAAGAGCAACGATAACTTTGAGCAAGAGTTAAACTTGCGAAGCGAAAGAAGACGGAATCGATTGATGGGATCGATACGAATGTTCGTCTCGACCGTATTCGTATCTCAGAGCGACTCGAACTTGCTTAGCCATCATTCATGATGAGACACCAGGGTGCTATATCATAGCGACAGGTAGACGGAGAAACGAGCACGCGATTCCAATGCTAATAATCTAAAAGACGATCTCTCGGAAATGGAGGGTCAATCTGTCGTCGCGCGCAAAAATCGGGCTAAATTATTCCAGTCAACTCGTCAAGGCGAAACATATACGTCCATAAAAGGCAGAGAAAAAAGAGGCCCTAGTGTTGGATAAATCTATACACATGAGAACACCATATGGTATATGGGACACAAGAGACGGGATCCAAACGACGACGAGCCCACCTATACCTTAGCAGGCAATCGACCGAGGTCTAATCGATTCGAGCCGCTTGTCGCAGCAATGCATACCCTCATTAAGCGTTGCGCAGCAACATCTCAATGAGATATGTATCTCTAAGCATTCCTACGGGATGAGGAGTGCAATTGTTGTACGCGACAATCAGCGCGAAAGGAAATATCGATGAAGATCTTATAAGCTTATTTGGGAGACTATTAAAGAACCGTTTGAGTACTTAGCTTCCCTTTTAGGACGAACCCCTTCGGGGTACTAAGCCTTCTTACCAAATTATACTTATTGGGAAGATTTCGTCGGTGAAAAATCGATGATAATATAGGGTGTCCCAAAATTAATAATAAACCTGTTAATGATGCAGATTCCTGGGATCATTTGAAGACAGCGAAAATTAGGGAGGCTATCATTTTTTGCATGTTCCCAATTTTTGTCATCATATATATTTATAATTAAGCCTTAAATTAAAATTCTATTAAAGTAGACTCTACATGTCAAATTAATAAAAGAATGTGATTTTGTTAATATTTGATTTCCACAAGGTTACTTTACGAAAGACCTCTTATTTTCAATCGCTTGTAACTCGAAAATTATTCATGTCTCAACATTTTCATTGAGGAAAAATCGTTTTCAAATTATCCCAAAAATCTGCTATTAACAAATTTACTACTAGTTCTAGGACACTCTGTATATAAAACATGTGTATGTTCTAAAAAAATCAGCGCCAGTCAATTCGATTGTGGCTGCTGCGAAACGTAGCTCTCTTAGTTGCAAAATATTTATTATATAGGTAAATATTTATTATATAAATTTTTAATTGTGGAATTATAATTTATAATTAATAATCAATAATTGTTCTATGTATATATAGAGAATGGTTATCGAAAAATAACATATATAGCAGATCATGCCATTACCCGCAGATTCGAGTTTCACGAATGTTACAACACGTGTATGCAATGTAAATAAACTCAAAACCGTGTGCGAACTTTGTTGTTGTTTTGAAATATGATCAAGCATTTATATAATTATTATATAATTATTTTTTGCTACTTGTTCTATAAATTGTTCAATCCGACGATTCCATGTGTTATTTTCGTTTTTTCGTCCAAAAATTGTAATGGAAAATTATGATGTAAATTATACAACGACAAATTATTGGCGAAAAAAATTTAAAGCATGATACGAGATATATTTGAGTCAATCAGCGTCGTTGAAAAAAAAATCATTATGCACATTACGTAAAAATTAAGACACAATAAATTCACATTTTCCAATTTACTTCGATTTCTTCTTTAAATGAATAAATTATGAGATATATCTGCTTGTGAATAAAGTCGTCGTTTCGATATACGCTTCCGAATTGTTAATTGAGAGTAAGTAATTGTACGAATTAACAATATAGTTAAAATTGTTCGTAGGAAATAATCGCGCATTTTCTCTTGATATTTATTGCAATCGCGTCTCGAAGGATTATAACACAATGCCGCGAATTACATTATTATAAATGGATTGAATTATATTAATAATTTAATGAAATTACTTTATTATATCGACTGAAATTGCTTATAATTGTTTCAATAAGAAATTCATAATAATATAAGTAAAAAATATGTACATCTTTTTCATGCATTTATTTTCCGATTCTATTATTATTATTATTATACGTAAATAGGCTCAGTTATTTTTCTAAATAAATATAGTTTCTGATTATTTCAAAATTTTCATAATTTTATGTACGCTGCGTATTTGTATAAATTATCTAATTTTGTTATAATGAATCGAAATCATCTATCTTACTTATAATTAATCAAACAAATACATGCGCGGTGAATTTTCGCCTAAACTATTATTCTTCATTTTCTATCCGAGATATAGATCACTGATATTTTATGAACCATAGCTGCGATGGCAACCGATTGAATCGATGAATATAAACAAGTCTACAACAGCAGGTTATCGGGATGCAAGTGTAATTAGTTGAACTTTTATTTATCACCAATAAATCACCCATAAATCGTTTCCTAGGATTTAATGCGTCGCCATCGACAAGCCCCGTGGCACAATATGATCGCGCACGCATGTTTTAATGTTTTAAACAGAGAGTTCAAAGGTTAAAATAATTATTTATTGCCTGCGCGGAGAAAAATAGTTCTAGTATATTTTCAATCTATCCGTCATGTTATAAATCGCAGAAAAATGTATTTGTAAATAAATTAAAGTGAACTCTGAAGTCGTGAAAACAATAAAAGGCAGCATATCTTTTTCTTTAATTTAAATGCAGCAATAATAAAGTCCTCTATATATATAATATAATATAGCTTTCCTTATAATAATTTTTAGATGTAAATTTGATGTTATATAAATTTTCTCAAAATATAATTTATAATATATCGTCTCTATGAAACTTATCCTAAATAAAGCGCGAAAAAAAGACACAGTGATAATAATTAATAAGTTATATACTCTTGAAAAAAGTGGAGCTATGCTGTTGCATTTGCGGTATATCCATTGCATTACGAAGAAATAAAATGAAGCAAAGAATCTCCGTTGAAAAGAGGTCAAACAAATGACGCTATGTTATTACGACTACCGAAAAGGAAGATAAATTTCGCGCATATATGACACTATCGCATATATGTATGTACGTACATATATAAACCGAACGGGATTAAGAATGAGATGTCAGAGATCCACGGCTGCCGGATTAATTGAAACGAAAATGAAATGGCGCTATATTCGCGGATGAGATTATATACTTCTCGGATGGCATATCGGTATTCGAGTCCAGCGAGCCGAACGTTTCGTTGCGTTCTCGACGGCGCATAACATAGCTCGAATCGATATTACGTCCGGAGGGTTTCGCGGCTGTTGAAAACGCTTTTCCAAGCGGATTTTACAACGCCCTCGGTGTTAACAACGCCGTTTAATCGGAGATTAACATTACGGTTGGTATACAAACGCCGCTATTGCGTATGACCCGCGACCTTTTCAATCGTTCAGAGATTGCATTGCTCGGAATGTAGAATTGAAAATATGTATTTCGCGTATTCGCAAATATGAGATACGTTTATGTGCAACAAGATATGAGAAAAACATTATTATAGCTTAAAAGCAGAAGAATGGAAAAATATCGTCCAATATATGTAAAAGTTATTCCATTTGTTATTTCAGCTCTGAACAATATTCTGTGAAATAGATAAATTATCTTCTCAAATGTGCGGCAGTTTCATCAAAAACTGCATCATAAAATTTTAATTTGCGAGGCAAAAAGCGAAATATTTTATCGTTTTAGTCCAGAAATTCATTCACATGTTTAGCTAACTTAAATAAAAAAATCAGTATTTTTGTTCAAAAATTCTGCAACTAAAACGACACTAAATATTCTATTCATTACTTGAACATTCGTCCGGCCAACAATTATATTTATACATTCATATTTTTTTAAAAATATAATGTTTATCATATAAATGATATCACGTGACACATCTCAACAACAAAAGTTAAAGGGTGTTATATCCTACAATAATATCCACTGTAGTGAATATTACTAAAATGATTACGCAAAATAAATAAACGCAATGCATGTTTAAATTTTTATAAAAAGAAAATGATTACAAGACAGAAAAGTATAATTTGTACGAAAAAATAGTAGATCGATGCCGAAGTACATTGAAGGCAAGATCAATTCTTTAAGCTCCTCGTGATATTTATTCCAGCAGTTTAACAATTTCCATTTAAATTACATTTAATACGCGTGCTTTAATTACCAAGGCTTTCCTGATAATTAGATACATGCTTGCATATTACAAGTATACTCGTATGACATGTGAACGCACGCACGTGAATATATACATCAGTTTTCAAAAATTTGTACTCTAGAGTACAGTAGAGAGGCTTTATTTCTCCAAGGTAAATTCAAATCGACGTCTTCATCGTTTTATTTCACAGTT